TTCCCTACATCAAGTCTATCATCTGTCATTGGTGAAGGATGCACAACCTGGAGAAGATAATGCAAATACAGAGGTGTTGTCAGTTAAAATGTTTGAGCATGCTTGCTTTGGGATGATGAGAAAGACTTTCTTGTATTGAAACTTAAGTGGTAACATTCTAACTGGGACAAGAACAATATTTTTAATCCTCGCTTGAAAGATCAAATTAAATCTGCCACAGTCAGCCTTGCTGCTGCTATATCTATGACAGGCATTTTTATGAGGAACCTAGAAGGCCCAGAAATGTTGACTTGTCATCTCTCTGCCTTTTTGCAGAAATTCAGGGAGCTAGGACAAGCTGTTCTTACTCAAGAGAATATCCCCAGGTCCTAAGAAAGCACAGAAAAAAGAAGACCTTTTGATCTATGCTCTAAAATTGTCCTGAATACAAACAGATTTCAATGACAACATTTCAAACTTGACTCGGTCACAGACTTGATTTGCTTTTTTCTATATCATGATAAGGGCGCCACACATTGTGTCAGAGCTTATAGCTATAGCTCTGTCTCATCACCATGGTAGTTCAGGAATAGTGGCAGTTTCCATTAAAAAATCTATTTTCCAGGAGTTAAATCTTGAGTGTTTTGAATCCCATCAGCCTACAACTTATCTTACAAGTTGTCAGCCCAAACGCAATATATATTTTCCACAAAATTAAATGTAAATCAGTTTAGCCATTTTTAATAAGAGCTATAGACTATAGAGGAGCACAAAATGCACTTTTGACAGTTTGAAAAGAAATGCATGTTCTAAACAAAGATAAATAAACTTTAGTATTCATTTCACAGCCTGCTAGTTAATAATGTTTACTGTAAAGCTCTTTTAACAATATTAGAGAAATCATATTCAAATAGTAAAAATATTTACTTTACATAACAATAACAAAGAAATCATATTAGACTCAGTTCAAAACTGGTTTGATATTCAAGTTATGTGATGCATGATGCACATGAGATGGCAAACATGTTTGCTTTCAATAGGAATTTGTATTTTAGCAGGGTCATACAGCTTCAGGCTGTGTGATCTCTGCCTCGCCTGGTCTCATCTCCCACCTGCCCCCTAAGCAGCTCCCATGGGGGTAACTGGGGCCTAGTGCAGCCCCCCAACACAGCATGGGGCCCAGGTGACAGCTGCAGTGCCCCAGCTGCCTGACAGCAAGTGGAGTTGTTCAGTGCTCTGCCGAACCAGGATGCACCTGCACAATTGGGCAGTGGCAGTATGGGTGCCAGGCAGCCGGAGCCAGGTCTCGCTGCCCCCCACTGCCCTGTGATGCAAAGGGGGGCTCTGCCACATGGCCCCACAGCCCCCACAGCCCCTGCTACTGCCGGTGAGTGTGAGGCTTTTTTTTTTTAAAGTGCCAGGAGGCTGGATCAAGGGGACAACCATTGGGAGGTCTGGGGGAGCGGGTGGGAAGTGGGGCTGGGTGGGGCAGCTATTGCGGGAATGGGGGTTCAAGTGGGGAGTGGGGCTGCATGAGGCAGCCATCGCAGGGGCTGCAGGAGCCAATGGAGGATGGGACCAGGCAGGGCAGCAATCTGGGGGGCTGGGGGACAAAGCAGGGGTGTGGTATGTGGACCCTGCAAGGGGGTAGCCTTTGTGGGGGCCATGTGGTCCTTGTTGGGAGAGCTATAACTCTGTTGGGGGGCTGTAGCCCTGTGGGGGGCAATCCATGAGCTGTGCAGGGGGGCTGTGTCCTGCAGG